TTCTTTCTCTCTCTCTTTTGTATTTTTTATTAGAATTTTTAGTATTCATGTCACGTTATCGAACTAAATGAACGAAATGTTACAAACATTCTGTTAATTAACACATTGCAAATTTAAAACAAATAAATAAATATTGTATTGAAAGTCTTTTATGAATACCAAAGTTCGAATTGTACAACTATTATTTTTTTCTACATGGTAGAAAATTAAACAAATATATGAAAAATAAATATTGTTAAAAGTGGGTGATTCAACACACCCACCCATCCCAACCTCTGTGTTCTGTTTGTTTTATTTTTAAAATAATATAATATCGGTTTAATCTTTAATTAGTCATAATTACTCGACATAATATATATATATATTAGGTTATCAAATATAAAATGGGGCAAAATCAAATTCAATTAGGGGTGCATTTTTGCCCCATTTCATACTTGACAATCTAATATATACCGTGTGTGTTTTTTTTCTATTTTTAAAAATATTTTTTTGTTTTTGTTTTTATAAGTAAAACTTTTACACAACAATTTTTTCCTTGAATAAATTACATATATACTTGCTTACAAGTATGAAACGTAGTATATTCGTGTGTTATCGTGCTGATAAATCGATAGGATAGGTAAACGTGGTTCGTATAATATTCTATCTTATTGCCGTTTCAACGAATAATTTTCTTTATACATCGACGTTTAAAGTTGGAAAAAGGAAAACGTCGAGTAAAAAGGGCCCCTACGGGGTAATCTGGTAGCGTTATATTAAAAAGAGTTTATAATAAAATCACCTGAGAGTAAGGTTAGGTAAAAGGTAGATACGTTCTTAAGCACTATCACTATATATTATCAAACATCTCATCCCTTTCTTTTTTTTCTTCTTTTTCATCAGCTTCATTTTCTTTTTATTTTATTATTATTATTAATATTATTATTATTATTATTTTATGAAAAACGAAAATAACATTTTCATATTAAAATTATTTCCCCTTTTACCCGTCTCGTAAATATTTGCTGCTCGTCTTTGATATATTTTTCAATCAATTTTTATTACTTTGGTTTATTTTATTTTTTATTTTTTTTTTAATCGTTATAAAGTTTGATCAATAAAATTTTCTTTTTTTTTTTTTACGTGTATTTAAATCGATGCCTCTCGTATAATTTATTTCAAATGAAAATATTAAAAATTTGTAAATTGTGCACACATTAAATTGTATAAGTTAAAATCTAAGTGTTGAAAAAAAAGGCTTAGATTTTATTTGAAATAACTGGACGTTTATTTTATTTTTTGTTTTCTTCTTTTTTTAAATATATATATAAAAAGAATTTCACACAAATTGATTTGAACAAATATATATATGTATGTATATTTGATTAGTTATTTCAATATTGAATATTTATTAAGGTACTTAAGAAACAGGATAAATCATCAATTCTTATCGATGACCATAAACTTTCTTGGAAGTTTAGAGTTTTCAATGTTAGAAAAAGATTCATCTTTCTTTAATGATTTATGTTAATATTAAAAAAAAAAAAAAAATAATCAAATAAATTAAAATGTAGATAAGATCACAAATACATTTTGATAATATGGAAAACGAGTTTGTTCGTAATTATGAATAGAAAAAAAAATATATATATACATATATTTATTATAAAATTTTATTATCAAATAATTAAATAAATAATATTATCAAATAATTAAATAAATAATATTATTAAATATTATATTATATAATATTATAATTATTAATATTATATTTATTATTATATTATTATAATATTATTATATTATATTATTAATATTATAAATATAATTAAATAATATTTATTATAAAAAATTAATAAAATACATTTATTATAAAATTTATATATACATATATATTATTCATTTAAGAACAAATTAACAAAAGAATTATTTTATATATTATAAAAAAAAAAATATTAAAAAAAAAAGAAATAAAATAGGTAGCATAATATCGTTTTTTATAATCATCTTCGTTTAAACTAGCAATAAATATACTTCATCGTGTTACTTGCCAAGAGCGAGAAATGAAATTTACGAGCGTAATTATTGCACACTCTCTTTCTCTTTCTCTTTCTCTATCTCTTTCTCTCTCTCACACATACACATAAACACACATACAGAAATATACACTTATTCACTTCAGTCTTTCTCTCTTTCTCTCTTTCTCTCTCTCTCTCTCTCTCTTTCTCTCTCTCTCTCTCTCTCTCTCTCTCTTTTTCTCTCTCTGTTTTTATGCGAGAATTTCTAACGTTTCATTCGACGACAACGATCGATCTCAATTAATTAGACGATAATTATAGTAAGCACGTTATTTACAGACAGACTATACCATGTTACGACAGAACATTGACTATATCGAGATACTTCAACGAGAAATGACGTAGATTCAATAAATTCTCGAGATCGGTTTGAGCTTTTAAAGAGTCGATCGAGTTCACTCTCGAATCGAAGTAGAGAGAAAGAGAAGAGAGAGAGAGAGAGAGAGAGAGAGTGAAAATGTATTTATGTGGGTGTCTCTTCCTACTCAAACTGTAACGTTCTCGTTTCTATGCGTTAATACCATAAAATCACCTTGTACCGGTTCGTTTAATATGATTTCTGCACTTTTACTTAAATGATTTCACATGTGGATGTATATAAATGAATTTTAACTTAAATGGTATATATATATAATATATTTATATATTTAAAGTTACATCATTTTTATACCATAGATGGTACAAGATTTTTAGAACTATTTTAATTTGATATTATATATGTATTTAATTAAATAAAAATTAATATTAATTTTTTTTAGAAATTGTATAATATAATATATATTTTATATAATATATTTAAAATATATTTTATATACATTTATATACGTGTATTATAAATTATAATTGATACATTTAATATTTATATATTTAATATATATATATAAAAATATATATAATATATAAAATAATAATTTTATATATTAATATAAATTATATATTATATTATATATAGTATATAATTTATTTCTTTTAAAAACTATATAATTTAATATATTTAATTAAATAAAAATTAATATTAATTTTTTAATTTTATTATTATAATTTAATTTAATTTTATTTGATAGTAATTTTAAAATTTAATATATATATATATATTAATTATGCACTATAATTATAAAGATAAACTTTACAATGAATCGAACAAAATTTAATAAAATATCATTAATTATTTTATGTTACAATATAAATAATAAAATTGACCAATTTTCATTTATTTATCTCTCTCTTTGTTATAATTACATATACAATGTTATCACCAATTACAATAATTAATTGTACCATTCAAAAGAGAAAGAGATACAAAGTAAAGTGCACTCGGAGTGTACTCGTAATTTTTGCCTCAATTCGAAATTTTATTTAAAAAAAAAAAGTTAAAAGAAAACATTGAAATAATATTAAATTCCAAAATGTTATCGAAATAAACCTTATACCATTATCATAAATAGAAGATACGATTGGTCAAAGAAAATTATTCTTTAATTTTTTTTTCTCTCTCTCTCTCTCTCTTTCTCTTTCTTACTACATACATATATACATGTTTATATAAGAGCATTATGGGGCAAACCATGAAAAAAAAAAAAAAAACTATCAACCGTTTTAGTTTGACTTTTGCCGAATCTACGAGCGGTTTTCACCCACGCAAGTTTACTCGTACTCGGCTGCAAATTGAAAATTTAACGATTGCCATGTCTCGTGCCGACAAAAAAGGCGTGTCGGTTGGTTGGTTGGTTGGTTGGTTGGTTGGTAGGTCGGTCACTATGGCTTTTCAAAAGGACGATCATATACGTTGAAAAAAAAAAAAAAAGGAATATAAGAAATGTTAAATGTGTATTGCATATATTCTTACAATGCATGAGTGTGTGTGTGTGTGTGTATGTATGTGTTATGGTGGAAGGAGAGATTCGGCGGTCTCTAAAAATACGTTTATGGGATCATAACGTGGCAGCAAGTTCCTTCTTTCATGGGTCCAACAGGCCCATTTTTTTTTCTTCTTTTTCTTTCTGTCAATGTATAGATGTAACACACACATATATATTTATATATATATATATATATATCTATACGTGATTGTGTTCAAAAATGTGTATGCTCATAAATCCCCCTACCACCGTTAAGTCTCACGTGTAAAATTGCTATTACATCTTGAGCTCCTACCGCAGATGTCGTTTCATGGGATTTGAGACCACTCCCGGACCGGTAGAAATGTCCTTCGTATTTCTCACGGTTATGGTCAGCCAATAACTTGAAAAGTAAAAATAATAAAAAAAAAAAAAAAGAACAAGAAAGATTTCTTAATATGGGGTCAAATAAAGATAGAAAGAAATGTTATAACACCATAAGATATTTCATTTCTTGTCTGATATCTATAAGTGTTTTCTTTTTTTGGGAGAGGGGAGGGGAGATAATTTTTCGATAGAATCCCATTTCTTTGATTTGGAATATTTTTTATTATTTTTTTAACATTAGGAATATTAACTTGTAATATCGTATTACAATTATATTACATTTAAGGTATTAGTTTAATATTGTTAATTAATTTTAGATAGGAATAATCGATTAGAATAATTAATTAGGATTAAATTTAATCTAATAGGAATTTGATGTTATGTGTTTCATCAAATTAAATTTATTATTTTTTATGGTAGTTAAATTAAATTAACAAATATAATAATATAATAATAATACAATTAAAATATTAAAATAATAACTTAATAATAATAATATTATTATTATTATATTAATTTTATAATATTATATTTATATTAAATTAATTTTATTAATATTATATTTCATAAATATTATAATCTATATATATATATAAATAATATTATATTATATTTAATAAATAATATATTATATTTAATAATTATTAATAATATTATATTAAAAATTAAATTACCATCTTAATTTTTTATAATTTAATTATATTAATATTACTTTTGACAAACAAAAACTCAACATAAATCTCATCAAATTAAAAACAAATATCCTTAAACTTGTATTAAAGATAAAAATCACAAATAATCCATCTTGACCATTACTTGACCATCATAATACAAAATTAACTTTCTAATTAATATAGAAAACAAAAAAAAAAAAACATAATACAAACAAACAAACAATAATGACTATTCCTAAAGCATCAAATCTAAAGACGATCTTATACGTGCTATGTAATTTTAATTTATAAACTTAAAGTAAAGATACACACACACAATCGCGTCTAAGCACGTTGTCTATACAATCACAATATACAAATAAACTAATACAACATACACACCTACACGCACACATATATATATCTATTTATCTATTTCTAAGTCACGCTTCTATGCTCGTTAAAGAGAAGTCACGCTACCTGCGCGAATTCGTTACATCATACACGAATATGTACCAAGTCGAGGACGAACATACGCATACTAAAGTCAAGACAGGATATGCACTTAAATGCCACATACACACACCTACACACATCTATCTATCTATCTATCTATCTATCTATCTATCTTCACACACATATTAACACATATATGTATATATGTATACATAAAAACGTTAAAGTTAAAATGCACGCGACAAGCTCAAAGCCAAAAGATGTCTATAGTATTACACACATATACATATATATACATATATAAGAAATACTACGTTGACTACTACGTTTCTACTATTCGTAATCCTCGTTGGTGCATAATTTTCTCGCGTGTAACTCCTCTATCTCGTAGAACCAGACAAAATACAATACTCGACAGTGCATCTAGGAACGTGGTGCCATCATCCTCATCCTATCTACACTCCTGTCTTCTTTGTATCTTTTCTTTTATTATTATTATATTTTTTATTTATTTATTTATTTGTTTATTTATCTTCCTCTTTCACTCAACCTATTCTATTTTATCCATCTATCTATCTATCTATCTATCTTTCTATTACGTTCTATCTTTCAAAACCATTTCTTTTCCTACGTTTTCATTTCTTCCTTCACTCATCTTGTTCCCTGATCATCATCATCACCACTCCCCCCAACCCCCCGCCCGTGACACCATTAAATATTTTTTGATCTAATCTTTTCATTCTTATCTATTACTTTATTATTCTTTGTTATTGCTAGCAAGCAAATAAATAAATAAATAAATAAATAATAGAGTTTAGTTGAAAGTTATTGGTTTGGATAAACGTGAATATTTTTGGATTATTACATGTCTTGTTATCGTGATATCATAAATTCGACGTCATGCGGCAGTGTTACATCATCAGGATCGTTTACGCACCCAAGTATACGAAGGTGATAAAAATACCTTTGAAGAAAATATTATTTTTGGATGTGTAATATTAGGTCGAGTCATAAATAACTTTCGTTTTTTATGTGAGACAAATAATGACGTTTCTACGACTGATAAGTGCAAGACACCTTTCATGGAGTTTTTTTTTTTTTGCACTCTTTGCAATTGTTCAACGTATCTATTAGATTTTACCCCAATATTACCTTTAAAAGGTTCATCAAAGTCGGAAATACGTCCTGCACACTCGGTTCATCTTTTAAGAATCGTATCTCCAGAATGGAATTTGACAAACCAATTTCTGACTGGCCTATCAGTTATCAGTTCTGTACCATATACGCTGCATATTTTTTCAGTTGCCACTTTAGTGCTATTGCCTTGTTTCAATTCCTTAAAGCATTACATGTCGAATATGCACTTTTTACTATTATCCATTTCAGTGGTTAAGAAAAACGGTTAAATGTAACATTGACTGCATAAAAAAGTTGACAGAAGACTAACTGAATTCTCATCTATATAGTGATATCGAAAATCCGTATATAAATTACTTGTCACGTTGTTTGTTCGCAATGGACTCCTAAACAACTGAACCGATTTTAATCAAATTTTGCACACTGTGTGCAGTATCATCCAACTTGAAAGATAGGATAGTTTATATCTCAATTTATTGCGAATTATTTGTTTATTAACAAAGAGTCATGATTATCTCTGTTAGTTTGATAAGATTTTAACTGATGGCGGTATAAGGTAATTCGTTGATTTAAAGACGTGTGTATCGGACTGATTGGAGCCACAGCAACTCGTGGCGGGGAACCCCTAGTAATAGATAAATACGAAGAATAGATTCTACATAGCCGCATTGGAAGTTACTTATAACTCGACCTAATAATATATGATTGATAAAAGTAGAACTTTTGATTTGATCATTTCAATAAATAATTGTAAGAAAAAAAGCATTTATGTAATTGTTATTGATATAAGTATAACATGTTCCACAGGTACAAACTGTTCAATCATCGGGAACACCTGCGAGAACGCCAGGCGTCGGCGCGGATTCGTCAAGCGTCGACGTCGTCGGAAAAGGCGTCAGTGGGGGAAGGGTCACAGAAGTTATGGAATTATGTTATGTCACGGAAAGGATAATAGCTCTTTGGTATCGTGAAGATGCACAAGGTGTTTTAGAACATGCCACTACACTTCTTAGAGGAAAACATGCTGATAATTATATGGTAAACAAAAATGCATCATAATTTTTTATTTTTTTTTTTATTTTCATTGCATTCCTATGTATTACTTAAAACAAAATTATTTATATTAATTATTTATATTAATTATTATTTATATTTGTTGGAAAAATTAATATAAACGTATTTACGATACTATAATTTTATATCGTATAATTATAATAATAATAAATCAATTATATTTATTAATAATTTAATAAATATATAAATAAAGAACATATATTATAAAAAATAAAATTATATATTATATATTAAAAATTATAAATAATATATTATAAATAATTATATATTAAAAATATATTATTATTATTATATATTAATAATAAAATATAATTATTATAATAATATATAAATTAATAAAATAAAAATTTTAAACTATGTATATATAAATATATNATATATATATATATATATATATTACGAATATTCGCAGATATTCAACCTGTCATCTCCAGGACGAACAGGTGAATCAAATACGAGAGAAGCTGGTTGGCCACAAGGATTAGCACCAAGTTTGGAAAGATTATGCGCCCTTTGCAAGGAGCTGGACTCCTGGTTGAACGGTTTACCTAATCGTGTAGTCGTTTTACACGCAAGGTTATTATTATTAATAATTGGTATTTTATAATTTTATATATTTAATATTTTATCATATTATTATATTATTGATTATTAATTAAAATTAAATATTATTAATATTATATATTTTTTTTCTTCTTCTTTTTTCTATGTTTCTTGATGAAAAGGGGTAACAAGGAACGATTGGGTGTGGCGGTATCAGCTTACATGAATTACAGCAGCATTTGTGGTGGACGCGATCAAGCCTTGGACAGGTTCGCGATGAGAAGGTTCCTCGATGACAAGATCGGATCGTTACAAGTTCCATCACATCGAAGGTAACAACTTATAACAGACACGACCTTATATCTACCTATCTACCTACCTACCTACCTACCTGTTGACGTACGACGAGAAAATTCATTTTATCGGCCTTCCCCATCTCGAATAACTCCTCAGATAACGCCATAAACTTTTCTTTACCTTTAAACGTAGGCGTGGTCCCTTCCCCTCCCTTCCTCGTATCAACCAACCAACATTCATAGTTCATGGATATATTCCAATGAAAACTTTCTTTTTGAAGTGAAAACTTCTTTAGAATGGGAGTGATCTGAAAAGTAAATAAACGGAAACGGAGCTATGTAACGAAGCTATGAAACGGTTGCCATACTAAGTAATGAGAGAAAAAGAGACAAACTCACTACTTTATTAAAAAAACCTCACTACTTTTCGGAAAAAACCTTACTATAGAGGTGTTTACTACACTAACTGAGTGGTTTTAGTTACCATGCATTTTTTAGTTACCAGAAGCAATTCGTCTCATTTCTTTGAATTGAGAACTTGCTTGCTGTGTAATATCTTATCTATTTATATATGTTTTCAATAAAACGTATAATAATTTTTGAATGTGATAACAATAATATAATAATAATATTATAACAAATAAACCCAACAATTATCCTACTCCTGATATTCTGCAGTCGTATGTTTCTCTCGAAACTTAGTTTTCCGAAGGTTTCACTTCGAACACGTGTAATCTGCCCACATGATATTTTTTAATTTTGTATTATATTTGTTTTTTTTTTTTTTTTTTTTTCTATATTTTTGTATAATTTTTCTTTGATTTATTTTGAAAATATTTCTTCAGTTTACCTTTCATCTCACCTTTTGTAAAATGAAATAAGATACGAGGTATAAATTCTAATTAATTTTTTATCTTTTTAATAGGATGATTCGGTATATTCAATATTTTTTTAATTAAATTAATTATTTTATTTATAGGTAATTTCTTTTTTTTTTTTTTTTATTATACAATTATAATAATTGGATTTCTTCATTTTACCTTTCATCTTACCTTTTCGTAAAATAAGTTACAAGCTATAAATTTTAATTAAATTAATTATAATTTTATTTGTGTAGATATATAATTCTTTTTATTATACACTTATAATAATTTGATAATATAATATTTCTAATATAAATTTAACAACAAAAAAAAAAGAAAAAAAGAAAAAAATTGTATATTTTACACGATGATTTATTATTTTCACAATGAGTATAACATATCATGAAAAATAATACAAACATTGAAATTCAATATCTCAGAAAGATTAAATTTTCGTCGTGTATCAAATTCTTGCACGTATAAAACAACAACAACATTCCAACGGTAATCAAATCGTCAGTATTATTACATTAACAAAAAAAAAAGAAAGAAACTTTTTTTAATAACATTCTCATAAAACCATAAGATAAAAAAAAAACCCCCGTACGAAGTGAAAGATCAAACTGAAGAAATAAAATTAGATGATTTGAAATAATACGAGTCGTAAATCGATCAACTTTATTGAACAAAATTTACATGATAAAAAAAGGTTGAATTTATTAAAAAAAAAAAACAAAAAAAAAAAAAAGATAAAACTAGAAAGTGGAATAGGATAAAAAAGATAAAGATAAGATATTACTTTAGGTTTGTCCTTGACAATTAATAAATCCCTCGTCCGGTTTCATATACGTAATAATACGCACCATTGACCCAAGTATAGTAACTCGTCGTAATCATTTTCATCTCTTCAACGTGTAAAAGCTGTATGTAACAAGTTTAATGAGCCGCAATCATAATGTTCTCTCTAACCTAAACGCCAGTAACGTTTCTTCAACGTCGTCCTTCCTGTTTAAACTTCCATAAATCTTTAATAAGTATCAGACTCCTTCCAGCATAAGTTTACAGTCTTATATTTAATGTAAAGTAAGATAATATATATATATATATATATATATATAGATCAACGGTTTATGGAAATACATAACCTAGAATTCAATTAACAGTTATGATTAGGATCATTTATATATTATGCATTTAACTAAACGAATAGAAATGTCGGAAATCAAGGACAGATATGAATTAGTTCGAGATGATGATAATCTAACATACTTGTGTTATTTCTAAGAAAAAAATAATCTTATTTATTTAATAAATGTATATTATTAATATTATTATTAGAAATGTATTTAATTTAAATCGTAGAGGTTAGGAATTTTTTGATATTTGAAAAAAATAGTAGTTCGAGATGATAATCTAACAAACTCGTATTATTTTTATGAAAAGATAATCTTATTAATTTAATAAATATATATTATTAATATTATTATTAGAAATATATTTAATTTAAATCATTGAAGTTAGAAATTTTTGTGTTTTTGGAAACAAAGTTTTTGAGATGAAAAGAAGACATATTTTTCAACCCCATTTGCATATGTATATATATATTATACTATATGAGATTGTTAAATATAATTTTGATGATTTAAAATAATGAATAATAATTAAAAGATTTGAATTCTATTTTTCTTTTACTTTCTACTAAGAGAGAGAGATTGTTTCTTCTTTGAAACGATGACCAACATGATTCCATCTCATCGAGTTTCACCCTTAATTACACGAACCGCAAGCATTAGCATGTCATTAACCATGCTTGTGCTTTCACGAGCGTGTTATTCTATTATCGAGATCTTCGAGAGAGTGTACCGTAAACTAGAATAGGTTTATCTAATACTTTCTTTATTTTAAAACTAGGAAAATCACGATATCACATTTTTACTTGTAATAAAGTTCCGAGATTTTAAACTTGTAATTTAATTTATTTATTATATTTTATAAAATTAGATTTATATGTTTGAGAGGGAGAGAAACAGAAAAGAAAAACAAAACAAAAAGTTGAGCCTACGAACCTACGAACTTTTTAAAAATATCCTACGAACTTTTTCGAATAATCCTACAAACTTTTCAGAAATACTCTACAAACTTTTCAGAATAAACATACGAACTTTTCAGAATAAACCTACGAACTTTTCGGAAATAACCTACGAACTTTTCGGAAAGAACCTACGAACTTTTCGGAAAGACCCTACGGACTTATCGGAAAGACCTACGTGATCAAGGGCACGCATACTTTGTTAAAATTCAAAGTCGATTTTTCTCGAAAACAAAGTCTCAAACGAGAAATCTTTATTCTATATTTTCGATTTATTTTTTTCATGTAGAATCACCCCCTTTTTCGTTTGTACCACCAGTTACAGATCACTCTCTATATATTAAAAAAAAAAAAAAGGTAATAATTAATAAAAATATGATGAATAATAATTTACAGATACATTGAGTACTTCAGTGGATTATTGTCTGGGTCATTGAGAATCAGCCAATCTCCACTTTACTTGACACACCTTACTGTACTCGGAGTGCCACTCTTCGAGCCTACCGGATGTCGAGCGTTCCTCAAAGTCTACGAAGGATTGACGCCCGTTTACACATCGGATTTGTACTCGGTGACGAATGCTCGTGAGTTCACGGTTAATCTAGGTGGTCTTCGTTTGAGAGGTGACATACTCGTTAAATGTTATCATAGGGTATATTCCAAACAGAGCAGAGAAGTTATGTTCTCCTTACAGGTAAGTTTTATTTTCAATCTCCAACCAACACAATTACAATTACATTATTCATTATTATTAAAACATTTAAAATTGATTTATTTATACGCTTAAGTTCTAAATTTCTTTTCTCAATAAATTAGTTCAATGTAAAAACAAAAAATATTTCAATTTATCAGATGAATTTTGGTCTCTTAACTTTTCAATCGATTAAACGTTTTTTTTTTTTTTTTATATTTCAAAATGTATATTTAATAAATGATGTGAATTATGTGTATTTTAGTTCCACACATGTGTCATCACAGAAAACGTAGTGTCATTTCCCCGTTCGGAACTTGACGTAGCTTGTGAAGATCCACGATGTCCACCCGATAGCGTAGTGACCCTTTATTTCGCGACTGATGCAAAACGTCAGGATGGCCCAATTCCAGCACCAACACCCGCTGTGCCCCATGCCTCAGCTCATCACGATCCTATTCTTCATTGGGACAGCTACACGAATCTCGAGATAAGCGATGACGGTAAGCTTATCTTATTCTATACTAAATCGATTAATAACTACTCAAATAATAATAACAATAATAATAATAATAATAATAATCTGAATTATTTCATACAATAATTTATTAATAAATCATTAATATAATTTTCGAGTTATATTAATTAACGGAGATAATATTTTTTAATTATATAATATTAAATAATAATATAGTATCATATAATTAATAATGTAATTATATTTATATATTAATTTTTTTTTTATAAATATTACTTTATTATTTTATTTTGTATAATTAAATATCTATAATTATAATTATAATTTTTCATTATATTTTTATTTATATTTTTATTTATAATTTTTATTTATATTTTTTTTTCTATATATATTATTTTATTATTTTATTTTATATAATTATATATTATTTATTATATATTATATTATTTTTTTTATATATATTATATTTAATTATATTTCTGCAGTATATATATATATTATTATATTATATAATATAATACTGCAATTAAAATTTGTTATAATAATTTGTGAGGGAACTTTAATGGTGTCCAATTAATCTCGATCCAAGAAAAAGTAGGGGCTGGTCAGAAATATAACTTGGCGCTACACCATCGAGCCGAGATACGATGAGAAAGATAAAAGAGTGAAAGAGAGAGAATGAGAAAGAGAATGAGAGTAGAGTGAGAGACAGAGAGAGAGAGAGAGAGAGAGAGAAAATGAGAGTAGAACGAAAGATAAACGAAGAACGTCGAAAACGTAGTTAGCACAGTGCATTTAGAACGGCTGACTAATCCTGCCGGAAATACGTTTTGCCAACGAGAAAAAAAAAAAAAAAGAACAAAAAAAAAATATAAAAATAAAAAATGTACGACAGGTTCATAGCGACAATCCCCCTCCCTCCTCCCACTACACGGATATAGAGCCCTTAACTGAAAATAGATCAAAGGTCGAGCCAATTAATAGACTAGCAGTATTTTCTATGGTGTTTTGTAATTTTGTCATATTTATATCCTCCCCATCCAC